CGCTAACGCTACCAATACACTACCTCGGAAGAAATAGCGTTGATAGCGCGCAGTTGTGACGTAACACGCTACCATTAATGACGTCATGATCGTGTTTGTTAGCGCTATCTGCAGCTCCGCGAACAGTTTGTAGCGCTAAATAGCACGAATAGCGTCTCCCCGAACGCACCCACCATGTAATTCTTCCATCATGAGTTCTACGGCCATTTTACATAAAATTGTTTATGAAGAGTATTAATATTATACTTGTGTTAATGCCGAGACATTGCGGTGTTTCCTAATTTTTTCGCTTTTGATGTAACGTGCGTGTGTCGTATTTATATCGTTTCTCTACGTTGATATGTCGTATAATTTCTTCAAGCTCATGTCGTACAATCGTTGAACTCATGCTCATGTTGTATAATCGTTAAGCTTATGTCGTTCAATGATCTTTCATGTAATGAAAAATTCTTTTTATGATTGTGTACCTACAATAGCCGTGCTTGTGTCGAATTTTTAAAGTGAACTGCCTGATATACAAAAATTTTTATCATTTTGTCACTATAATCGATATTGTTCTTTCGACTGTTATATGCTTCATTGTAATCAATGTAAGTACAATAATGAAAAATATGTTTTTTATTGGATGTTTACGTATAGTTAGAATATTAAATTGCATTATTCTTGTAAAATTCATCAAATTCGGTACTTTTACTTCGGTTACGGTTGCCAAATTTGCAACCGTGCTCACGAGCGTGACGCAACTTTGTCGCGCGTTCGCAGTCAATATCCTCCGACTTCCGATAATTTTAATCGATAGTCCGTTCAGCCTTGGAAGAAACCGAGATTTCTTCCTCGTCCGAACGTTCTGATAAACTACAAAAGGTCTCGACAACCGATAATTGAGCGCCAGGCACGACTTTTATTTCAAGAAAATTAGTAGATTTGATATTTGATTCATTATACGAAATTTTTAATTAATGTGTGATAATACTTCTGCAAATGTAGGTGAATAGAAATAATACCAATGTATTTTTATGCTTATTACATTCGGTATCACATTGTATTTTTTCTACAGGTTTTACTTTTGTGCAAAAATACATTATGTAACTTTGTAAAAAGTATTTGTACATATATTTATATGTAAAATATATCCATACATGTTTATACATCCTCTTTCATTTACAGATGCAAGTTATTCCTGGAAGACGGAAGGAGACATTTATTTATATATATGATGATTATGTATACAATGTAGACTGTCGCTATGATAATATTTTTCGATGTAACACACGTCGAACGACGAAATGTCGAGGTTCAGTTATACTTCAGCATGATAATAGTGTGCATGTTTTACAAGAACATAATCATCCAAGATCACCATTTGTTAAAGAACAAATTGAAATGAAAGAAGAAATGCTAAAGTTTTCTCGCGAGACTTCTACTGGATTAAAAGAAATCTTTGATACAATTTCCAGAAGGTAAAATTATTTGATATAACATAATTTGAAAAATATTTAACGAAAAAATATTTTATTGTAGTATTTTGAAAAACTCGACATCATCTATTAGATTCTGGTATAAAAAATGGATGTCCTATTTACAAAAAATCAATGTAACCTTGACCGTGACGCTATCCAAGATCAAACCGATATGATCAATAAATAGATTTTTTTAACTGTACAACTTTTGTTTGAAACATTTTCCTCATGAATGCTTACAATTAGAACTATTACTGTCGGATAATGATTGAGCATCAGATGCAGATTCATCGTTTAATTGATGATGATCTAGGAGATCCAGAATTTTTGTTTTGTGCCATTTTTTCTTGTAGCGTTGTTTAATTGCTCGCAAAACTTGTAGCATGTGTGTTTTCATTTCATTTTTATCAACGGGTAAATGAATCACTCCCCTCTATGTTCCTAGTTCATCGTTTTTATTGTATATTTGTATATTTTTTAACAAAATTCTATTCCCAATTTTTTATATTTATAACATGTACTTTTCTTTTCTAGCAATCCGAATGTAGCGCAGTATTTGAGTTTTCCGTCTATAAGATGTAGTATGCATCGTGAACGTATAAAAAGCAGACCACCCATACCTGATACATTGGCATCATTACGTAACATTTTGGAACACTGTGACATAATAAAAAATGTATATAAGGGAAGCTTAATTACAGATAATGAAAAAACTGCAATAATTTTATCCAGCAATTCTTTACTAGAAGCTTTATCGTCCGCAACTGAAATCTATGTCGATGGAACATTTTCTGTAAGTATGCAACTTTTCCCTATATAATATTTTAACAAAAAATTATAACAATATTTACAGTATAGCAAACAAATCATATTGGCAAAATATTTTAGCATATAATTTTAAATTGGATTATGAAAATAATTATTGTATATTGTACTTTTTTAAGGTTCTCCCACGTATGCCTCATGTGGCACAACTCTATTCTGTACATATACGATATATGAATACAGTAAGATATTTGTTTAATTAAAATTTAATTTATTAAGATTTTTAAAACATACAAATAAAAATAATTTTTCCAGGGCATTGGAACATTATTTATATTATGTGATGTACGTACAACTACTATGTATGATGCTTTATGGGAGAAAATTATACAGATGGTACCACAACTTAAAGAAAACGTTAAGTTTATAATGAGCGATTTTGAAATGGCTGCAGTAAAATCGCTTAGTACAAAATTTCCCAGAGCAAAGTTAACTGGATGTTGGTTCCATTTCAATCAGGTATATGAAAAAATTATTGTACCTTAAAAAGATAGAAATGTTAAATATGTTAAAAACATAAATACGTTAAATTCATTAAATATTAAGTATTACGTATTTCTTAAGTTTTAACATTTTTATGTAATTTTTCTATATTTTAATACTTTTTAATTTATTTTTGTGTAGTTATCTTTTTATATATTTTACCATTTTTTGTCTTCTACTAATTGGTATCAATTAAACCAATTGCTAATTGGTATTTATTTTATTGCATTACTTGAACTAAATCACATTGCCTTTATCTCTTACAGGCTGTGTTACGACAATGGCGAAAACTACGCCTTTCAAATGCTCCAAAAACTATACTTTCCATGACAATGACATTGCCTTTGTTACGGTCAGATATGTTTCAAGAAGCTATGTCTATTATACAAATCGAAGCTGATATCTTTTCTTGCGAATATCCAGATATTTTACAATTTACATCCTATTTGAGGCGTACCTGGTCAAATATGGCATCAAGAATTAGTACCTATGATTGTCCTATACGTACTAATAACATAGTAGAAAGTTTTCATAATATTGCGGCACAAAAGCTCGGCACGAGAAATATTAATATTTGGACGTTTCTAGGTAATATTTATTTTTAGTTAATATTTATATTAACATATTTTTGTTGATTATATATTATAAATATTTACTAACTACGGTAAATATTCATTATTATTACAAAAATGATGTCTTAACTACTTTTTATGATTTATTAACACTTATTCAAATTACTTTATATATCTATTAATTTAAATTTTCCTTTTTCTAGAAAAATTAGCAGATTTGATTACTGATCAAGAACTGGATTTTCGTCGTTTAAGAAATAATGTTAGACCTCGATGAAGCCATACACGGACAAATAGAGAACGCGATATTAAAATTATTAATGCACAAAGAGATCTGATTAATAAAAGGTAATATTTTATATTTGTGTACTTTTTAATTTTAATTAAATTAAATTTCAGATAATCCGGAAATAAAAAATTTGAACAGATTAGTTTATATATGAATTAATTTTGCCTTTAATGATTTTCCGAAAAATTGAATGATGACAAAATTCAAGTTTTGATATTTCGTACAAAAATCGGAAATTTTTTGTCCATAAAAAAGTACAAATTTAAAAAATCCTTCAATTAAAGACTACATTTAATCTAAAAGAAGTAAATTTCAAATTGATCGGTGCAGTCGATGCAATTTCTGAAATATTTTGGTCACTATTTTCAAATCGTAGTTTTGATAAAAATGCATTTAAAGTTTCAAGTACAGTTTATATTAAATTACAAAATTCATTTTCAACTTATAGTTATCTTTGCTCTTTCTATATAGACCCTATATAAAATCTTCTGCCGAAGTTAGCCTCTAAAATATCAACTTAAAGCGTCAACTTAAAACATTAACTTGCCAATGATATATTCTTCCCTTCCGGGTCCTCTCTTGTATGTCAAATATTTTTATGCGCTTAGTGACTTTTGTCTACATATTGATGAACATTTCGACCGTTGCTTATACACTTACCCGTGTATATTTTAGAATTACTGTCATCAATGTAGTTTATATATTTTAAATTGTAATTCTTTGAACGCTGGAACATATTTACGATCATTTCTGTTTCTATTTTACCCAACTTTGTATGACTTATACGATAGAAATATATACATGCTCTAAGAACATGTTTTCCAAAATTTCTAACTGCTTATAACCCTTTAATACGAGTATAATATATATGGTACGAATACAAACATTATATTATTATTTTAATTGTTTTAGGTTGTCAGTAGAAGAATTTTTATTGATGTTTACTAAAACTATTAATATCGAAGGAATAGAACAAACAATGTCATTTGAAGGTAAATATATTAAATTGCTACATATATAAATTATGCGATTAAATGTTTATACGATTCCATATTTTTCGTTAAAACATATACACTAGAATTATAATGTATAAAAAAATTGTAAGAATAGGTTTATTTTAAAAATGTATATTTCTTTTCTCAGATGCTCAATCAAATGATATTTTACAACCTGCAGATATAGAGTTGTTTACAGAAACATTGGACCAGACATTCCAAATAGGTGAATATATTATTGTTTTATTCTCTTTGTGTTTATGAAATTACTTATTAAATGTATTCATTCTTTACAATTTCCAAGTCATAGTACACAAATTGATATACATAAAGATGTATGTTTATTAAGGACAGGTTAAACCGTAAAATTCTCAATACATTTTATTGTGTTACAATAAATAAAATATGTACTTTATAATACGAAATATTTGCATTTTACTTTTACACTCAGATTCAATAAGTTTACAATGACTTTAATATGCACTCAATATGCACTAGTGCAGCCAAGCGAAAACGGTATTAGTCTCTTTAATTAAATTCGAAGGATTTAACTTATTAATTCTATTAAAATTTATTATACCATAATATTAAAAAAATTCTATATTAATAGTAAATGATTAATATTTTTATAACACAAATTTTAAGATTTAAAACAGCTATTAATTTTAAAAAGTTTAGCTTTAAATTATTTAATTTTATTTATGTTATAAATCAATATTAGGGTATGGACACTCTCATGTAAAAACTCTGTCTATTCGCCCAGATGGCGCAGAAATACGTCCTAACTTTTTACAAGAGAGAGTGTCCATACCCTGGTCAATATACATCTTTTATTTCAGAAAAGCAAATTAACATTAGACGCAGAAGATCTCAACACGTTAATACAAATTTATCTAGTCGAATAGAAGAAAGACATATATCTAGAAGAGATACAGGTAACAAAAATTTTAATGCTTACACGTAATGCGCACGTCTTCAAAATTTTGTCAGTATTAATTAAATAAAAATATGTAAAAATAATCTTTCATTTCC